AGGTGAAAGCAGCAGAAGGCAAGGTGAAAGCAGCAGAAGGCAAGGTGAAAACAGCAGAAGGCAAGGTGAAAGCAGCAGAAGGCTAGGTGAAAGCAGCAGAAGGCTCAGTGAAAGCAGCAGAAGGCTCAGTGAAAGCAGCAGAAGGCTAGGTGAAAGCAGCAAAAGGCTAGGTGAAAGCAGCAGAAGGCTAGGTGAAAGCAGCAGAAGGCTAGGTGAAAGCAGCTGAAGGCTAATTGAAAAAGCAGAAGGCTCAGTGAAAGCAGCTGAAGGCTAGGTGAAAACAGCTGAAGGCTTGGTGAAAGCAACAGAAGGCCAGGTGAAAGCAGCTGAAGGCTAGGTGAAAGCAGCAGAAGGCTAGGTGAAAGCAGCAGAAGTCTATGTGAAAGCAGCAGAAGGCTCGGTGAATGCAGCTGAAGGCTAGGTGAAAACAGCTGAAGTATAGATGAAAACAGCAGAAGGCTAGGTGAAAACAGCTGAAGGCTGCATAGTCTGTTATTAAATGACAAATAAATAAATAACAAATGCATGACAACACGTGCTGAACCCAGAGTGGTTTCACTTTTCATTATAATTTTTTTTTTTTCATTTACCCTTTATTTATCCAGGTAGTCTCATTGAGCCACGAGAACTCATTTTCAAGAACAACCTATTTAGGGAGCAGATGGTGGGGGTTAGGGGCCTTGCTCAGGGGCCCAGAGTGGGGCGAATCACAAATGAGGGTGGAGGCAGGTGTGGGTATTTCACCTTTTCCAACCATATTTAGATGTTGACCGTATTGGGAGTTGAACCTGCAACTTTCCGATCACAGGCTCATCTTTTCTAACCTCTGCGCCACCCCCCCCCCCCCAATAATTGGGTTAAAGTTGAGTGTGTCACGTAGCCGTCTCAGAAGGGTCGTTGTCACTTTATGTCCTCAACATCAGGTGACTGGTCACATGTTTCCAGGTGTGAAAGGTTCCGAGACCCCTGGACAGATGATGCAACAGCTTGACTAACGTTTCGTCGTGCTGCATGGATGAAATCTGATCTTATTTATGCTCATCAGGTCCAACCACCATGATGTCTGAAGGCACCAAGAACATTGTGGAAGCCATGAAGGCTCGAGGAGTCCGCAAAGTGATCGGCTGCATGTCAGGTAGAACTAACGAAGAGAATCAAATGTAGTTTATTTGTCTAATGTGGGTCTAATGTTTACATGGAGGGTGAACCCACACATTTTACTGCACCCAGCCGTTAGAGGGCGGGGCTTGTCGTTTAAGGCTTCAACTTCTGGTTTCTGCTCTTGTCTCTAGTTGTATTGCAGAACCTCACTGGACTGCAGCTGCTGAGGACTAGCGGACAAATGGAGTCTCAAAACCATCTCGAAACATTTGCAGGGATTCTCAATCTCCTCGTAAACCTCGGAGCATTGTGGCCTTGTCGTTTAAATTTTGAACATGTCCCAAGAGTTGGTGCAATAATTTGTTTCTCTAGTCATTAAGCTGTGATTTTCAAAAGTTAACTGCTTAATAACTGGACACCTGGTCAGTTTATGGCAAACGATTAACTGAAAATTTGCTTATTTATTTTCTTGCAAGTTTGAGTCACCAACTAGTTTTAAAGCGTCTCAGCCCAGTAAGGTATCAGCCTAAATGTTAAAAGATCCTGTTTGCCAGTTTGGAGAAGTTACCTTCACCCTGTAGTGGATGTTTGTTGTGTATGGACCAGTTTGATTTAGTGATGTAAAAACAGCTACAGGTGCTCTTCAAATGACACGTTAATAATTACTGACGTGATGTTACCAGCCATAATCTGGCTCCCTACATCCATCCATCATCTTCCACTTGTTCCGAAGTCAGGTCTCGGGGGCAGCATCTTGAGCAGGGAGGTCCAGACAAATCTCTTTCCACAGTCTCCTCTTCCAGCTCTTCTGGGAGGACTCCAAGGTGTTCCCAGCCCGAGAGACATAGTCTCTCCAGCGTGTCCAGTTGGACATGTCCAAAGCACCTCCCTAGGGAGGCACCCAGGGAGCATCCTTAGCAGATGCCCAAACCACCTCAACTGGCTCCTCTCGATGTGGAGGAGCCGCGGTTTTACTCCGAGTCTCTCCTGATAGCTGAACTTCTCACCTTATCTCTAAGGGAGAGTCCAGCTACCCTGAAGAAGAAACTCATTTCAACTGCCTGTATCTACGATCTCATTCATGGTCACTACCCAGAGTTCGTGGCCATAGGTGAGGGTAGGAACGTAGACTGACCAGTAAACGGAGAGCTCTGCCTTACAGCTCAGCTCCTCCTTCACCACAACGGACCGGTGCATAGTCCACAATACTGCTGATGCTGCACCAATCCATCTGTCAACCTCGCGCTCCATTCTTCCGTCACTCATGAACCAAACCCTGAGATACTTGAACTCCTGCACTTGAGGCAGAACCTCACCCTCGACCCGAAGAGGACAATCCACCCTCTTGTGACAGAGGACCACGGCCTCAGATTTGGAGGAGCAAATGTTTATTAATAGATAAAAACTTGATTTGTCTTTGTTAAAGTGTTTGTTTTTACATTACAGGACTGTGATAAAATGTTCAGAAGAGATTAAACTGAACATGTTCATGGTCTGAACATTTGTCCTTCTCTAATGTTCACTTAATTTACTCTTAGATTAAAAAAAAAAAAGAAGGTAGTTTAAATATCAGTACTCCAATCTTTGTCTAAAATATATTTCTGCAGATAACAAATCAATATGTTTTTTTAAACACTTTAGAAAAGCCAAATAAGTGAAGGATGTGGTTTAAAGATTTAAGTCATTTGAGGAAGTACGGTAGGAACCATTAATGTGCTGCTTTTTAAACTTTTATCTCCTTATGTAGTTTGTGCTTCTTCTCTCCTTCCCCCCCCCCCCCCCCCCAGCATTCCTTCTGTGGGACCGCTCCAAAGTCCCGCCCCGTATGCTTCCTGTGACCGAGGACCATGACCGGATGCACGAGGTGCTGAAAACCTCAGGGCTGGACTATGTGGCCGTTATGCCTCCTCACATCGCTGGTCAGCAGAAAACATGCTCATAAAGTCTTTTCAGTGTTTAGCAGCAAAATATATATTTAATGAAGAAAGGAATATTTTTTACAAACTTCTTAAAAAGCATTTGGATCATGTACTGCAGTATATTTGTTTTTCTGTTTTTAGTTTTTCTCTGTTACTTAGAAGAACTTTAACATACCTTCAGCTGTTTTAGCCACTCTGGGCGTCAAAATGTTCGGCTGTTTCAGGACTTTTGGCATCAGTAGCTTTTAGGAATTCTGAATTAATGAACTTGATTTACTTTTTTTATAGAAACGCTGTGAGATCTCTTCAGTTCCTTTAAAAAACATTGTGCTCTTTGAAATTTTCACATACTTCATATATATTTGGCTTTTAGCTAGTGCTTTTGCTTTTTTCAACTGCTAGCTACTGCTTTGCTAACTTTATTTTGTCTGCTGATTTTAGCTACTGTTTTTTTTTTAGCTTTTAGCTGCTGTTTTGCTACATTTTGTCTTCTAAGTACTGTTTGGCTAATTTTACTTTATAGTGTTTTGCTAAGTTTAGCTTCTAGCTAGTGTTTTGCTGGTTTTAACTGCTTGCTAAAGTTACTGCTACAGTTACTGTTCTGCCCATCTTGGCTTTTAGCTTGTTTGGTTAATTTTAGCTTATACAGTAGGTTTTGCTAACTTCAATTTTGGGCACTTGTTTGCAAATTTCAGCATTTAGTTTTCATTTAGCTAATTTTAGCTTTTGTTTAGAAAGTTTTAACTTTAACAATGGTGGTCATTCAGCTCTCAGTTTAGTTTAGCAGAAAATGCTATTTTTTTTTGTTTGTTTGTTTTGATGGTATTTTGTTTGTTTCGGTGTTGCTCTCTGCAGGCGACCTTCCTCTGACGGAGCAGTACATGGTCACAGAGAATATGCTACGAGGAAGAGCCATCTCAAAACACGACCTGGGACATTTCTTTGTCAAATGTCTGTCCACCTCAGAGTGGGACGGCAAGACTGTTGGGGTTTGGGGGGAGTACAAATAGTCCTCGAAACACTGCAGAAGCTCTGATAAATGCCTTTCTGAGATTTAAGTCCCATTTTTAAATGTTCTCCAATCCATAGAAAAAGAGAATTTTGCGGAATGAAGATTTTATCTGTGTGTAAATTCTAACTATCATTCTTTTCATGGTTTTGGCTGAGCAGCTTGAGTTCATCTTGTTTTTTTTATTTGATCTGCATGTTGAAGACTTTTTAAAATAAAATTTCCAATTGTTTGCATTGCTGTTTATGCTGCTTTACATTGCGCAGTTTTTATATTGCATCAGTCATTCATCATAAGAGGCTTCTTACTGTTTCTCTGGAAATAAAAGCATTTATTGTGAGTTGTATGAAGTGCATAATGCATATGTTTTTTAAATTTTTTTATCAGTATTAGGTTACGTGTGTGCTTTGCAAAAGAAAATGACATGTTGGAAAGGTCAAACTACGAACGTATTTTCTGTCAGAACCAGACAGTTACTCATTGTGTGCATTATTTTATAAGGTTGGATCAATTCGACTGGCACATGTGGAAATGGTAATGTAAATCCCCTCAGTTTAGTTATTTTTTAGTTCAAACTGGCATAAAAAATATTATTTTTACTATTAACCTAACCACACAGCAGTTTAAAAATAGAATTTTAGTTTAATTATACTTATGGAGAAAATGTGAAGTTAGAAAAACGTTTTTAAAGCGTTTTACATAATATGACATATGAGTTTGTAAGGATACAGAGGGAAGCGGAAGTTATCTATTTCTGCCTTCAAAATAAAACTTTTGTCATTATTTGCTTGAAAGTTGTGCTACAGAGACGCGTTGTGTAAGGTTTTATTCTGAAAGTCCAAATAGGAAGTTGTTAGCTCGGTGTTTTTCCGCTTTTGTCCAACGCAGAGATTGGAGGTCGACTTGTGGCTGTTCTTTGGACTCGCTGATATTTTATTGCAGCTAAATGACGAGTTTTCGGTATAAAACCGAAACTATGAACTTTTAAATGTCGATACCTGAACGTTGTTGAAGCTGCTGCTTCTTTAAGGTAACAACCGCCTTCATCGGTAACAGTTTTGGGCTCTTAAGTTAAAAAGCTCGTTGACGTGTACGTGTAAGGTCATCCGCTCCTTTTTTGAACTTCCCTCCTCTGAACCATTAAAATCGTGAATAAAATGGGTAAAATTATATTTTAAGAAATGTTTTATTTTTGATCTAACATGGTTTAAACACGTAGACTAAGCCTCACGCCACGAGGTAAACTTTAAAACGATGTTTTAAACATTTTTATTTTTTTTAAATGCCAAATTCAGACGGAAGTACCTTTTTGCAGGTGATGTAATCGTTTAGGAATTAGTGGTATGCAAATTGCATAATACTGATAGTCATTTATCAGTGGTAATCAAAATATTTTATGAGTTATATTTAATATAATACTAATAATGTACGTTTTATAATACAGTAGTTTAATGGGGGGAAAGCTGACGGAATGTTGCGCAATTAAACTTCATTACCCATAATGCCTTTCGACACGCAGCTCGGAACCGTGACGTGAGACTCAAATCACGGGCGGGAGCGAGGCAGATGTGCGAAGCCGTTCAAAGCTTCAGCTCCAGAACATTTAATCCGGAGGCTCATTAAATCGATTGAATCGGTACTTTGATCCCGACTGGGTTTAACGGAACGCGTGACGTCATCACCCGGTTTTTCTTAAGAGAGGAATCGAAGGAAACGAGACATTTTAACCAACGGGAGCCGGGGAGAGTCAACAGGTCTGTTTCTTCTCACAAACTCTTAAAAAGCAAGTAAACTTAACGTTTATCACGGCGGGGTGAATAACTCGTGTCGTAACGTTCGTTAACGTATTTCATGTAACCGAGTCGGTTTTCAGCGGCCTGGCTCGAGCTTTTCGTTTTTCCCTCCCAGCAAACGAGCGTTACAACCCCCACGTTTAAAACCAGCCCCCCCGCCCGCCGGCCGGGTCCAGAGAGCTCCACTTTTCAGGATAAAAGCTCATTTAACTCTGAATCAGAATTTTACAAAACATTTATTGTGTTTGTGTAGCGGGTATAAGACTTTTATTGTGTTTACGCAAAACTATCTAAATCTAGAGTAAATAAAAAAAGAAAAAAAAGTTCAAGACAAAAACAACTGGACTTTTATTTGTAACAAGACGTTTGGCTTCTCATCCGAGGAGCTTTCTCAAGTCAAAGAACAGGGTTCGAGTTATAAAGCTGAGCTAAATACATGTAGATTGTCCTATCACTCCTCACAATAAGGGTTCGTTAGGGTCTTTGTTAGTCTGAGACCCAGACGAGCCACTCTGGTCACATGGCTGAAATTCCTGATAGATGTGAAAATGACTGTGTAAGTTTTTGAAAGTTGGAATTTGAGACCTCCTCTGTCTAAAGATGGTGTAAAACGAGAGAAACCATCTTCAAACAGAGGCAAAAGTCTCCGATTTCAACTTTCTAAAACTTATAATGCAGCTTTAGGCCTGATACAGTCATTTTTACACCTATCAGGAGTGGCTCGTCTGGGTCTCAGACTAACAAAGACCCTAACGAACCCTTATTGTGAGGAGTGATCGGGCAATCTACGTATGTACGGTAGTTTAGCTCGGCTTTATAACTTGAACCCCACACTCTGTTCTTTGAAATGTGAAACTCCTCAGACGAGAAGCGAAACGTCTTCTGCTACAAATTTTAAATGTTTATCCATAAGTGAACAAGGATGCTAAAAAATAACAATTAAACTAAGATCATCTTTATGAGAAGTTTTATGCTTTTAAGCGAGTCCTTATGTGCGATAATATTGTACCTAAAAATATGTTGGCGCAAAACATTATTGATAACAATTAGCATAGATGCTAGGTTATCATTGAAAATACCATTGACAAGCTAAGACAATTAGCATTGTGTGAATTTAAACAAAGCAAATATCCTGATGCATGCTCAATAATCCAGGCAGAAACATCAGGTCCTATGGACGAATTCTTCTTTGTTGAAACACTTTGTCTTTTATCCAAAAGACTTCTTGAGTCTGAGGAGCTGCAACAAACTCAGTCTTATAAATAGCACCTTCACACAGCGGAGGAACCAGTTTGCTGCTGAAAGCCAAAACTAGCTATTCACATGTAAAAGGCCCATCAGCCTAACAATTGATCGTTAGTGTCCTGATCGCTGCTTACTATTCACAGAGGGCTGAGTGATGCTAACAATAACAGTATTATTAGAAGGTGACAGTTGAACACGAAGACCCCCACCCCCGTTTGGACTGGTTCTCTTCTCAAAGATGGCTTCCTTTACTCCTCTCAAGCCAACGTTCCTCTCTCAAGGATGAAGGTGTGCACACTCGAACACTGGTTTGAGAGAGGAGTAAAGAAGGAAGCCATCTTTGTGAAAATAACCCGTCTGTTGTTAAACGAGGCGGGGGTCTCAATGTTCAACTGTCCCCCTCTTACAGTGCTGTCATTGCAAGTATTACTCAGCCCTGTGAATAGCAAGTGGCCATCAGGGCACTAATGAGCAATTGTTAGGGCTCTAACGATCAGTTGTTCAGTGATGGTCCTACTTTAAATGTAAATAGCTAATTCTGGTTTTCAGCAGCGGACTGGTTGATCCACTTTGAGGAGGTGCTGTTTATAAGACTGAGTTTGATGCAGCTCTTCAAACTGAAGAAGTATTTTAGATAAAAGATGAAATGTTTCAACAAAAATAATCCGTCCAGTGGACCTGAATTAACCTGGTTAGATAAAGCAACGTTTGAGTCCTCTCTAAAAGCAGTCGTGTTGTGAGAACTTCAGCTGCCACAGGTTTTCTTCAGGGTTCTTCTAACCTGGTTCTGCTATCCTCACCAGGTCCAACATGATTCTGAAGGGGCAGAAACGCAAACTCACCCAGGAGGATGTGGAGGTTTCAGATAAGAGCGCCCCCCTCTGGGAGAGCCAGCGGCAGTTTGTCTTCTCCGTGTCGCTGAACAAGTACCAACGGAGCCAGGAGCTACCAGAACCAAGCCTGCGGCGGTCGGTTCTGATCGCTAACACTCTGCGACAGGTCGGTCTGGAAACGTGCAGGACGCCCCCTCTGGACGGGGAGGTGTCTCTGCCTTTGTTGGTGCCACAGGAGACGGAGAGAGAAGTCACTTCAGCTGGAGCCAGACATCAGTCTGTGGTGCCGGTTGATGATGCCTTCACTGATCCTGCTTGCTGCCCAGTCGTTTCTTTGAATTGCTTTCAAAATAACGCTGCAAGCAGATCTTTAACAAGCTGCCATTTGAGTGAAGCAAATGCCCCTGCGACTGCAGAAGAAGAAGATGGGGACTGGGGGTCGATGTCCACTGATTCAGATTTTTCCCTTTCAGCTGCGATTTCCTCCATTCTGACTGCTCTGGACTCTACTATGGACGTCGGCCCTCAGGCACCTCAACGGACACCTCTCAGGTCCTTGGAGAACCTGTCGGGGCCCTCTGAAGGAGGCGCAGCGTCGGCGAAACAGGAAATCAGAGATTACAGTTGGGATCATCAAGGAGAGGCCAAGGTGCAGGGGGGCATCGTGGAGGCGGTGAGGACCAGCCACACAGAGGATGTTACAATGGAGGATCTGTTCCAGGATATAGACACGTCCCAGCTGGCGAGGGACATGGGAGTGCTCGGACTCCGGAGCAGCGGAGGAGGATTCTCGGCTGCGGATGATCTCATTCGCTACATTCCGCCCCTCTCGCAGTCCACGTTCTCCTCGCACCCGTTCTCCATTTCTCTCGGCTCCAACCTGAAGTGTCTGCCTTCGTTCTCCTCCTTCAGCCCTCTGTCCTCGTCGCTGTCTCCACCGGGTTCTGCTTCGTTCTCCGGTCAAAGTCAAGTGAGGGAAGGACTCGAGTTGGAACAGCTAATGGAGATCCTGGTGGAGTCTTGATGGCTTCATCTCTATCACACAGGATGAATTATTTTCACTGAAACCACCCACTAAGTTAACACCTCTGTCAGAATTCATAAGGAAAATGGCCGACTCATCAAATACACTGTTTGTAACCTTTTTAATTTTTATATACATCATACAATCCTCCAAGAAGCAGCACATAATGGTGTTTAGATGATTGTATGAATGTTCTTGAAATGCGTAAAAGATTTGTGGCCGAGACAGAAGAGGTGCGTTAGGAAGTTGTTGTCTGGCAGCTTTTCAAAGTAATTTAAAGGTTTTTGTATTCACAGGTATAAAGGTGTGTATTAGTTGATACGTGCATGGATGGAAACTTGGAAAATCCATTTTCTCTGTGAGGAAACGGCCTAAAAAGATACAACTTAAAGACGTTATGTGTGTGTGTTAGTTTAATGTCTGTGGATATGAAGGGAAGTACAGCTGTGATTATCAGTGGAGCAGAGGACGGATCCACACTCCTAATGCGTTCGATCACCTTGAAGCCATCAACCTGTTGTCTCGGTGCTGTTCAGCTTCGGGACGCACGTGGAGCCCGTGGCTCACTGAAAAGCCTGTGATGTATCGTTGTGGTTGTAAATTTGTGTTTTTATAAAATACATTCGCAACCGCACACTTCCCTTCTTGTTCACGAAGAGAAAAACTCAAACTTTTTAAACTTTGATGTTTTGAACTCTTTTTGTTTTCTCACAGAAAATGTTCACTCCCAAGTTTTGTACACGACTGGACTTATTCAGGTGCATGACACACGTGAATGCACTTCAGTTTAAAATTTCAACTCTTGTAACCCCGTTTCCGTTTTGTTGCTGAACTGAAAGTCAAGTCGGTCAAAACTGAGGAGCAAGCAGAAAAACTTTTTTTTTAATCGCCAAGCAGTGAATCATGAGCGGATCAGCATTTTGTTAAAGTGACTCAGCGCGCTGGACCTGAGGCTCCGTCCTGCCTGCGTGATTCATGCAGCAAATGACACGTTTCCTGCGGTGGGGGGGTGGTTGGAAAGCAGCGCTACAACAGGTGGCGCCGGTCGTGTAGCGGCGTGAGAATCTGTCCTGACAGGTCGGACGTTGACGTTTGTTTTGGCTGGTGGAGAAAAGAAAACAGCCGAAACTTTTAATCTTACAGGTGAAAACATCTTCTGTGAAGACATCCGTTAACCTCATGTTCATTAAACGACCAGGAGCTCCTAGGAAATCTGTAGATTTTAGTTTTTAAATTTCACGTGTGTGTTCAGTTCATCATTGCCAAACCACATCAAGACTGAAAACTTGATGTTTAAAAAAAAGTTCTGCAGAGCTCCGAGCACAGGTTCATGTTTTTAATCGGGTTATTTTATACAGAACCTCTTGTGTTCATTGCAAAGTCTTGGAAGACCGAGCAAAAGAACCTGCACACACACCTATAAACGGTTGGCGTGTTCATAAATGAACAAACTAAGCCAACAACCGCGACGTCCGTGGAAGAGCCGTCCGGCTTTGACGACGTGTTGCTTCTGCGGTTTAGTTGAGTAAAGTGCAGGTGAAAGTTTGTTTACGTTGAGTGTGGACCCACATTTCAGACTTTCACCTCAAAACATCTGGAAAACTACCGGAGTAAACGCATCTGTTCAGGATCATCTTTGTTTGGGTTCATACTTTGCAGCAAGTACTTTAAAGGTTTTTCACAGGTCTGAGCTTTTAGCCACGTTGGCTCTGCAAACATTTCAGTTTTGGGTCGATTCGGCTCGTTTTGACGTTTTTTTTTTTTTGTGGTTTACGTTTGAATTATTGCACTTTTGCAACTAATATGCATCTGTAAGTTTCAATCATTGTGTAAACACGTTCTGTTATCGTTCGGCATTTCATTATTTTATCACCAGCTGCTGCAGAGGCTGTAACCTGCGGTTGTTGACGTGTAACAAGTGAAGGAAGCACAACCTGAGATTTCATGTTTCAGCTGAACGTTGCTTTCTATGCAGAGACTTCTTCTAATTCTCCGTCCTGAAGCCTCACAGTATTTATAAAAGGCTTACTTTGTAAACAAAAGGTCTTATTTAATGTCGTGCATACGGACAAATCACTAATTGCATATTAATATACCACCATGGTAGTTATTTCATGTACTTTTAAAGAATTGTTTTGAAACGGAGCAGAACGCCCTCAAAGTTTGCATTTACTTTTAGTATTTTCTACGAATATGATGCTCTTTATTTTTGGATGTTTTTAATAAAAACACAAGAACAGACCAGAGTACTTTTTTATTTATGTATACATTTTATTTATGTTTAACCTGCTGGCAGTTAATGGGTTTTAAAGAGTGCACGCAAAAAACATTGTGGCCGTTGTTGGGTGGAATTATTGGTAAAATAAAGTTTAACACAAATGGGAAAAGTCAAGAAGCTGTAGATCATGTTTTATCATCATGGGGAAAGTTCAACTTAAAATAAATAAGTAGTTTAGTATAAATAAGTACTTGTTAAATGTGTTAAAGGTTAACGTATTACTGTTAATGGGTGTGGGGTATTGGAGGGGGAGCACGGTGCAGCACGTTTTACAAGAAGCAATGAAAAAGGTTTCACAGACGGGGAATAAAATGCCAAAGGGCTGCCCGAAGTCTGCCTGAATAAAAAGGTTGGACTTCTAAAGACCCACATCATCAGTGATGGAGCATGAGGTCTGAAAGGCCCAAAGTTCAGAACACGCACCTTAAAGTGCTCATGCTCATGGAAAGCCGCTAAATAAAAGGAGCTTCAAAAAATAAGCCCAAGTGTTGGTTAAAAGACGAGCTGCAGCGTTTTGGACAGAAGCCACACCTGGAGCGGATTAAAGCAAGAAGTCAAGGTCAGGACAGTGACTTGACCTCGGCTGAAAGATGCAAGAGGAAGAAGATGGCCTTCTGCACAGAGGCTGCTGGTCAGCTGTCAGGTCCTCATCAAAAGGCGGAGTCGGTGTCCAGGAGCTCTGGACTGTTGGACATGGTGCTCCGGTCCTGAGTTAAGAGGAGCCGTCATCCACGATCAGTTCAAACCAGGTTCAGGGAAGAAGCTGCGTCCGACCAGAGGATGCTGCAGCTGCTGTGGTTCGGTGCAGCTCCAGATATGAGCGTTTTTTCAGTTCTGACGTGGTGGAGCCAAAAGGACTAGAGGGGGTGAAGTCATCACCTCCAAGTGATGCTGATCCATCTTTACACAAAGTGAAAACCTTTCAAGGTTTTTTCTGACAAGGTTTCGCCCTGCAAAGATTATTTTAGCTGCTATAAAAGAGCCTTCAAATCACAAAATGCACCCGGAGTGGATACTTTGGGAAACATGGACACCAACAGAAGACGTGTCCTCCATGTCCTAGATCAGGACTGTTCAACTAAACTGCTCAGGAACCGGACACCCAGCAGTTATTGTCATTAAGTTTGTTTTATGGTTTAAAATTGAGTTTTATTTAAAAATGAACTCATTGTTGGGTCGAACTGAGCTCAGTTGTGGACCTGATGTGGCCCCTGGGCCGTTAGTTGGATAGCCCTGTCCTAGATCGTGTTTTTGTGATCAAACTTGAGCTGGCAGCAGCCAAGACCTGATTCTATAGCCTCTCCTGATTTTCCAGGTTTACCTCCTTCACGTGCAGTAACAAAAAAAGTTTGATTTCTGTGTTCCAACTTCAAGTTAATACGACACTTCACACGCTCGTCTGCAAACTATTTTACCTCAAAGGCCAAGATGAGCAAAGACCGTGTTTAAACTTTGACCTTGATTTGTGACCTTGACCTCGGGCATTCAAGAGGTCTTTTGACGAGCGTATATGACCTTTGACTGATGAGGTTAAAGAGTCAGAGGGTCATTTTTAGAGACGCTCCACAGTGTTCAAGAACAGCATCTAATTCAGCTCAGGTTTGCTCTGTCCACATCGTTTGATTCAGTTTTATATTTTACTTTGATTCAATCAAACCAGCTTAATGTTAATTTCACATATCGCCTGTAAATAAAATGTCAATTTCACTGTTATATTTACAGGGAGACTCCAGCATCAACAGCTGCTGGCCTGCAATGTGCCGTGTATTAAAAGTGCCAAGCGCAGCCGTCAGTATCTCGCTGTAAATAATCAGCTTCACTGCACAGCATCACATTTATTCTGTAATATTCAAGCAGCCACAGCTACAAATTACTGAGTTATTATTGTACTTTATACGTTCTGTCTGGAACAGGTCCCTCTTGTAAAGGAGTCCCCGTGGCTCAATGAGGCTAGCCGGTATAAATAAAGGTTGAATGAATGAATTAAAGTAATTAAATGCCATGTTTCACCCATTGCATTATTCTCACAATTACAATTTATTAAAGGTTGCTTACGATGAACAGATTTACAGTGTAGGGATTTCCACCACAAAAGTTTAAACCATTCCCAGTTGTTAAATTTACAGTACATATGGGTCATAAAGTTATAATTTCAAAAGGTGAAATTGCTTTTCTGTAATGTTTTTACCGTAGTGGTGCGTTTTGAACTTCAGAAGTTATAATTCACGAGTTGTCGGCAGGATTTTACACAAAACTACAAGACGAGTTTGTTCAGAGTTTAGACACCATAAATAACTAACGTATTTTCTGACATATAGGTCGCAGTTTTTTTGCATAGATTGGTCAGTCCTGCGACTTATACGCTGAAGCAACTTGTACTTGTACTGGTCTTCACGATGCTTTTTTTGACTGATGGGGACTTATACTTCAGAGCGACTTATACGCCGAAAAATACGGTACATTTGTTATTTTTAAACAAGTTAAAAACCCATTTCCGCGTTTCACAAAATTAATTCTAATTTCATGGCAAAAACAAAAAAAGTTGGGCCACTTTCTCCGTGCACACGTCTGTAAAACATTAAAGAACAAAATTAACAAGAGAAACAACTTTATTAATAATATACAAGATTGTCAGGTACATGTTAAATTATAGTTACAAATATAAACGGCACAGATGTCAAATTACTCATTTGGCGAGATCTAAGAATTAAAGTATTATTTTACTGGTAAAGTGCATTTCGAGTGTTTTTCTGACCCCACGCAGGCTGTTTTTTACTAAATTAAGATAAACCCTTCAACTTTATTGTCATTTTGATCCTTTTCATTTGGACACCAGGGGGCAGCACCACAACAAGGAGCTGTTTTATTCTTTCACACAGGAAGTCTGACTGAATGAAGAGCACAGCTGTTTGACCTCTGAGTTTACAATTCACATCATTTTATTAAAGTCGTCCGGTCGTGTTTAGGAGCGCTTCACTTGCTTTTCGACGGCCTGCGATGGACACGAACACACATAAAATTATTTCAGCTAAAAACACTCGTTAAGTCTTAGAAACCAAAACTTGTGGTGCAAAAGTCCAAGCCGAGACCAAAGTGAAATAGGAAAAGAAGTCCAGTTTTTCTAGCGGTTTCTTGGAGCCGTGAGGCTGTAAACTACGGTTGCACCGGGGATGAAGAGGTAAAGCCCGAATCTGGAAACGTCTCGTATTACATCACATCCTCTTCCCAGGATGTTTTATGGAATTAAAAGGGTGGGAAGTTCAGATTCAGCCCACGGATCCTGGGGTTCGATCCCTCCTTACAGACTGAGGGACCACCAGAGGTAGAACGTTCGGCTTTTCCTCCAGCTCAGCTTCTGCTGATGGAGTTGTACGACGGGAAGGAGCCCGGGTCCAGGGGTTTGCTGGCGTCCTTGTCATTCGGGTACGGAGGAGGTGTCGGGTCAGCGTCCATGATGGTCTCCCGGTCATCCTCCAGCACGGAGTCCTCGCAGCGCGGCAGCTGCAGGAAGGTGGTCAGGCCGTGCAGGTCGGCCATCTTGTGGAAGGAGCGCAGCAGGAGGTACATCATCATCAGACCGGTGAACAGGTAGGCTGGAGGGAAGACGGAGACATGGGTCACAAAGGAGGATTACCGGAGACCGATATATTTCAGAAACCAAAGGAAATGCAAGAAAAATAAAAGGATTTCTTCCCAAATTGTGCACTCTCTGTTTTTAACGGTCGACTCTCATCTATGACTTCACAAAAAAAAAAAAAAAGCATCAAAAGCAGGAGCTGATGTTTGATTTATATCCACCTAATGCACGTGTCAAACTCGAGGTCCGCAGACCAAACCTGGACCATGTTAACAGCTTATCTGGACCCCAAAATGTTATTTAAATGCAAAATATTTTTGATCGTTTCTCATTTTGCTTAAAAAAAAATGATACATTGATTTTAGTGCAGCCCTCTCACGACAGTTTGCTAACTTTGAATCCAGACAAAAGGTTGGATTTATCAGTAATCTTTAATTATGATGTGGAAAGAGCAACACAGAAGGTCAAGGAGACCAATTAAACTCTTGCAGATGAACCTGCAACCACAAAAAGATGTTGGGCTTCTGACTGGAGTTGATACATCAACTAATAATGGCTCTTCAGCCAACTGGCTTGGACCCATTTTTTTTATTTTGGCTCACTTTTGTAACGGAGTTCGACTCCCCTGAAATGAGTAAAAGAGCAGAGAAGTGCCACCAAGCCTGCAGCCGAAGCCTGCAGCCGAAGCACGTAAACACTAAAATCTAAATTATTTAATGAAAGCCGACAGCTGCTGGAGTCTTAAAACTATAAAAATGATAAGCAAAGCACAAATAAAACCAATAAATAGACAAATGTGCTAAAAGACAGGACAGATGGACTGGAAAAACATGAATTGATTTTATCTACAGGGTCTGGAGGGCACATGAGGCTGCAGGTCAGACAGGTCTGCAGGAGTCTGTCCATTCGGGGCCTTTTGGGTCATCAGTAAAACTTTACAACAAACAGGAAGCTGAAGGAAAGACGTGTTCAGACGAGCTGCAGCGTTCTGGACTGCGGCTGGAGAGAAAAGCAGAGTTCAGAACCCGGATAACAGTCGGCTCTTCATGGGAGACCAGGTCTTAAAGAGACCAGTTCTGGTACTGTGACAGGACCTAAAGAGGCTGGTTAAATGAGACACTATCTCCAAACAGCTTCCCTCCTGAATGACTAGCTCGTATCTTTACTCGTTCAGATTGTTGCGTCTGCGGAGCAGCTGATGAGTTCAGACACTTCGACTGCTCAAACTCCAAAAGATTTGTTCTTCAGAAGGAATGCAGCTGCGCAGAAAGATCCTGAAACAGCACTTTAAGGGCTTCACATGACCAGTCACAGCTTTTAATGTCAACATTGCACAATTTTTGTTTTTTTGTTTTTAACACTCAAGATTTAAAACCTCAGTTTTCTACAAATAAAGTCGGATATTCACAGCAGAAATCCTTATATTCTCTTAGAGGTCAGAGGTCAAACTCAGAAGAAAATTTAAAAAGGAGCCAAATAAAATGTACATACATTTAGAATGAGATTAAGTTCAAATTTTTGTGTTTCATCGTTAATAAAAATCACCTAAAATAACAAGAAAGACGTTTAATGATATAGATGTCGTCGCCAAACTTATAACAGTAAAAAGCAGAACTAATGTACGGGTGGAACGACTGGTTTATTCATTTTGTGCTTTTAAAATAAAGTTGTTTGTAAAGGAGTCACACAAAGATGGAGGCCAGAGGCCGGCAGAATTTTAAGTTTCTACGTTTAAATCCATGTTTTTAAACTTTATTTATATGGATCTGTGATTGGAAAGTTAATTAAAAACAACAGTTAAAAATATTACACAGAAACTAGTTCAAAAACCTGTTCATCCGTTTATTAGTTTAAAAAAAGAAAAACCTAACCCCGAGCACTGAACAGCTGAAAATATTTTCCGTAGGAACTGGAACTGAGTTGCTAAAACCAAACAGCAAAAAGCACCTAAAAGTAGAACGACAGCTTAAAACTAAAAGTAGCTAAAAAAAGACGAGTCAACAAACGGTTATACAGCGATCTACAGCAACGCTCCAGACAAGCAAATACTTTAAACTTTGACCTTGATTTGTGACCTTGACCTTGGAGCTGGGGGGATGAGAAGTGTGGTCCGGACAAGAGAAAGTTTACGGACAGACAGAGGCTGAACCAGAAGGCATTTTAAAGAGAATGTTTAAGAGAATTAAGAGAGATCCATGTGTTTCTATGGAGAATATACACTGCGATAAGTGAAAAACCACCAAGTAGGAACAGTAGTAAATAGTAGTTTTGTTTTTTTATGCTTTTTAAAATTAAGGCATTTAAAGCCCTTCCAACACTTGCAATATTCTAAACAATGTTTCTAAACTCTTAAATGCTCTAAAAGAGCACAGCATGTCATGATTTCAGCTCCCTGCCTCCTCTGCAAGGGCTCTTGGCCACGCCCACTTCTCAGTTCTGCATGCAGAACAGCTGATCAGCTGCAGCAGGAAGTTTATCCTGCAGCTCTGGGCTGCACAAAGATGCAGCAGGTGGTAAAAAAATTTAAAGCAATTTATTTTAAATAAAAAAGTTTCATGCCGATCGTGCAGCTCATCCATTCACCAGTGTGTCATGTCCAATCTTATTTTGAAAAACCGCAATAGAGTGAGTCCGCGCTAAACGAACCACGAAATAACGAGGGACTCCTGCATCTGTAAATAAAGTTAAATATTTTAGAAAAGTATAAAAATAAACTCCCATAATTTTGATTTATGAACGGCTGAAATCACTCAAAGTCTGCAGAAGTATTTAGATTTTTAAAAAGACGTGCAGAAGAATAAAAAACAGGAAAGCCAAAGAGTCCACGCGGACTTGGCGTTAAAAGCCACGTCAGGCCAGCGTAACCTGGAATGTGCCACGTGGACGAGACGAGGTTCGTTTTCATAAAAAGGTGCAGATGAAGTCAAAGAGGGTTGGAGCTGCTCGCCCCGACGGGCGCAGCGAGGTGCTACTTCTCACATGGGAGGTGAGAACGAAGATGTTCTGCACAGAAACAGCCGACACCAGAGTCCACCTGACCACCGCTCTGTCTTCAGCTCTACCTGAACGTCTCAGCCTCTCTGCATCAGGGTTACAGGTGAATTCACCTGAACCTGCTCTCCTCTGAACTCTAATTTCAGATTTACTGGACTGATTAGTTTATACACACGCATCAGCACTTTTTTCTTCCCGGATCATTTATTATTTATAGGAACTTCTAAGAATATTAAGTTTTTAACATCAGGCATTTAGTTTCTGACAAGTTTAAAAGCCAAGCCAAGAATAAAAGCTTCTTTGCTAGGCTTGAGCTCAGTAAACAGCACTGATCCGAGCGTTCGGTTCCATAATGAGGCAACACCTTTTGACCAAACAGCTACTGGAGATAAAACAGAAGGTCCCGCAGACTTGCACTAATGTGAGCAAATTACATGAAAAGATACAAACACATTTAACTTGAACTCATCCATAAATTAGAATTAGAAACGAATTAGAAAATAAACGTGGCTGCAGTTTGTAGGCACAATCACCGAAAGAAAAAGTAATTTTAGTGAAGTTAATTTCCGCGATAACGCAGCGTAAAAGCTGAAACGAACAGATCAAAACACGTTCAGAGGAAACTGTTCATGAAAAGTGTGATCTCACCTCGAGTCAGGTGAGCAGACATGGATAAAGGATGTAAGAGTTCAACTCACCCATCACAGCGACCTGATACAGAGCTCGGTACTTCTGACCCGGCTGAGATGCAGGAACAAAGTCCCCCAGTCCGATGGTGCACAGGGAGATGAAACAGAAGTAGATGCCGTCCAAGAACGTCCAGGACACCTCCACCACGCTGAACACGGCTGCCGGCACCAAGAAGAAGCAGAGCACCACCAGAACCAGCAGCAGCAGGAAGTGCAGCACGGTGGCGGGCCGAGGCTTCATGCCCGAGCGCTGCAGGAGGCAGATGGGAGTCAGGACCAGGGGGTGCATGACCCGCTGCACGCAGGCCGTCAGCACCAGCATGGTGAAGGGAACGCCGATCAGGGCGTAGATGATGGAGAAGGCTTTCCCAGCGTCGGACAGAGGAGCGGGGTGACCGTACCCTGAGGATAGCAACACAAAACACGTTTCACACGTGTGTACAAAAAATGTAATTTCTTAAGTAGAACTCAGTTCAATACACCGGTTGCCCATAGTGAGAGGCGCCGAGCTGGTGTGGGTCTGCTTTGGGCCCCACGACTTGATGCCTGTGTGTTGGAGGTTTCTCCAGTAGATGAGATGAGAGAGTGGCTTCCCTGCACCTTCGGGTGGGGGGAAAGGCTCTGATTGTTTGTGCGTATGCGTCAAACGGCAGTTCAGAGAATCTGGCCTTCTTGGGAGTCCTTGGCGGAGGTGCTGGAAGGTGCGCCAGCTGGGGACTCCTTTATTCTGCTGGGGGACTTCAATGCCCATGTGGGTAATGACAGTGTGACCTGGAGTAGCGTGATTGGGAGGAACGGCCTCTCTGATATGAACCTGAATGATGTTCTGTTCTTGGACTTCTGCACTAGTCATAGTTTGTCCATCACAAACGCCATGTTTGAACATATTGAACATAAGGGTGTCCATAAGTGCACTTGGCACCAGGATGCCCTAGGATGTTGTGTTGGACGTTGTGGGTCTGTCTTGGTTGACACACCTTTGCCACATCGAGTGAACATCAGGGGCAGTGCCACTGGATTAGCTGGTTGTTCTCTTCAAAAAGGGGGACTGGAAGGTGTGCTCCAATTATAGTGGCATCACTCTCCTTAGCCTCCCTAGTAAGGTCTATTCAAGAATACTGGAGAAGAGTCAGATCGTTGGTCGAACTTCAGATCTAGGAGAAACAAAGCGGGTTCCATCCTGGCCGTGGAACACTGAACCAGCTCTTTACCCTCATTAGGTTCTTTGAGGGGTCATGGGAGTTTGCCCATCCAGTCTACATGTGTTTTGTGGACTTGGAGAATGCTTTTGACCGTGTTCCTAGAGGTGCACTGTGGGGGTGCTCCGTGAGGATTGGGGGCCCACTGTTACAGGCTGTGCAGTCTCTATACAAGCAGTGCAAGAGTTTGGTTCACATTGCTGGTAGTAAATCGAACCCCTTCAGGGTGGGAGTTGGACTCCACCAGGGCTGCCCATCGTCATCGATTCTGTTCATAACGTTTATGGACAGAATTTCTCGGTGCAGCCAGGGGGCAGAGAGAGTCCAGTTTGGTGGCCTCAGAATTCCATCTCTGCTCTTTGCAGATGATGTGGTCCTGTTGGCGTCATCGTGCTGTGATCTTCAGCTCTCACTGGAGCGGTTCACAGCCGAGTGTGAAGCAGCTGGGATGAGAATCAGCACCTCCAAATCTGAGGCCATGGTCCTCAATCGGAAAAAGGTGGATTGCCCTCTTCGGGTCGAGGGTGAGGTTCTGCCTCAAGTGGAGGAGTTCAAGTATCTCAGGGTTTTGTTCATGAGTGAGGCAAGAATGGAGCGTGAGATCAGATGGATTGGTGCAGCTTCTGTAGTATTGTGAACTCTGTGCCGGTCCGTTTTGGTGAAGAGAGCCGAGCTGCGAGGAGAAGATCTCCGTTTACTGGCCACTCTACGTTCCTAACCTCACCCGTGGTCCTGAACTCTGGTTAGCGTAGCGTTGCCAGCATGAACCAAATCTGTTACAACGGGCAGCCGTGGTAGAGTCCAGCTCCCACCCTGAAGGGGTCTGACTTACTGCCAGCAATAAGAACCAAACTCTCGCACCACTTGTATAGGGACCAAATGGCCCACATAGAGAATTGGAAACTAAATATTCTTTAAGACTGATTTTCAGGCTTCTTCTACCAGTAGATGTAGCACAGTTCATGTGCTTGATAAAAATGTATCCGAAACACCACAGAGAGTATGTCTTATATTTCTGAAAACTTCCCCTTATGACAATATATTTATTAATTAGCTTAATTATGCTAAACAAACCAACAAAGTCCATGCTCAATAATCCAGGTATACAATCCAACAATTTTCAGTCAGGTCATCTGGACAGTCTTTTTTTTTTTTGGTGCTGAAACGTTTCAACTTCCATCCAGAAGGCTTTATCAGTCAAGGAAGTCAATTTGACATGACTGTCTACAGACGAGGAAGAGGGCCGGCACCAGATGAGGGGGCGTACCAAAGAGACCATCTTAGCACCAACATAACTGGTTTTTCAACTTTGGAGTAAGCTGTTGGGGGAAGAATCAGTTTTGTGTTGTGCGTTTCCTTGACTGATGAAGCCTTCTGGATGGAAGGTGAAACGTTTCAGCACAAAAAAATAAAAAATAAAATAAACTGTCCAATACTGCTGCTGAAGTTATACTTTCTTTGAAATTATGGAGTTTGTCAACAAAGCTGCAGGTGATAATCTACCTGGACAGGAGTCAGATTAACTTTTGACTGGATTATCAGGTTAAAAAAGGTGAGAAACCTTTTAAAGCTCACCCATTACGTGTTCAGGTGAGGAGTTTAAAGCTCCCATGAATATTATTTTGTTTAACGACAAAGATTCCCCATAAAAACCAACAACATTTTCTTGCTTAGAGCCATGAGAAAACTACAAATAACTTTTAATCTTAAAGTAAAAAAAAAAAAAAATCAGCTGGATTTGTTTTGGCTGCTTCGTCAGTTTTAATCTGATGAGGGTCACAAGTCGGACTGCGACCCATCGACATCCTGGGCTTGTTTTTCTAAGGCTGTGTTCATCACTGGCTGAGGTGTCAATGATGGTGAGGCTCTAGTGTAGACGTCATGTGCTTATTTATCCAGAAGGTCAAACCTTTAGAGTCTTCATAAATTCTGCACAACCAAACACGTGCATGTAAATTACCACGGACGCGCCTAACATTTGTCCCCTCGGTGTAAAATGCGTCCCCACCGCAGCTGGGACAATGGACACGGATTACCATGAGCAGGATCCGTTTTAGCTCCACCTGCATCCTTCAGACCCAGTCAGTATGAAACCAGGTGGAATGTGTGCGCTTGTGACTGACGTACGCTCCAGAACAACAAAGGACTGAACAAAGGATGAGAACAGAAACCTGAGCCTCCAAACAGATTTCACCTTCACCGTAGCTTCAAACGGAAACATCACCCTGAAGCTTCACCCACCAACCGTTAACGACATTACTGTAACGGATGTTCAGGATCATCTGTAATAAAAACTGCACATCCTTTTTACAACCAACAGGAGAAATAAAACTATTTTTCAGCTATTTAAATGACATCACAGACTGATTCGGTTTGAGACGTTGACGTTTGCTCTCAGCCAATCAGAGACAAATTTCCTTTGAAGAACATGTTCAGGTCCGCTGGGTCGGCCTGAAGAGTTCAATATTTACCCAAGATAAACATTTTTAACAAGTCTTAGTGGTCACACATCCCTGCAGCCATGAACACATTTTAACTTCCTGAATTCATTTGTCAGAGCTGAGAACATCAAAGAGATGAGAATTAAACCAGCAGCTCCATCCAAGCATGATGCAGAGCAGCTTTAGACAGAGTGTTTCACTTTCAACAGTCAAGTGGTTCGTTTCCTCTCACTTCGGTCATCTGACCGCCTGTTTTCTTTCTGCTGCAACTTCGACTCCACAGCATCCAAACCCACAGAGTTCCACAAACTGGAACCAACTCGGAGTTGTAAATACACGCAGCACAAAGGCTGTGGTTGTTCTGCTCCAGGACAGGATTTGCATAGGACTGCAGAGACAGGATGATAATAAAAAGGAGCATCCTGTGGAGTTACACCTGTAAAACTGTAAGTTGTCACAATACTAATCGATTCCTTTGAAGTGCATTTATCTGCAAGTCCATTTTACAAACATCTGAAGTTCACGCCACCGTTCTACAGCAGCTTTGTGGTTTTTTTTCTTGCTTTTGTTTCTTATAGACAGAAAGATGGAATAAATTCTCCCTGGATGCACAATTTTGCACACCGGTCACCGAGTAAGCCGGACCAACAAACGCGCAACTCTTGGGACTAACTGTGAACTCGATTAAAACTATGGTATAAACTTAAAGAAACATCTCTGATTGCTCATTTGTTTTATTTATTTTGCGGTTGACAGAGAGTGATGTTTGAAAAGAAAAACATTTTACAAGATTTTAATTCAATTTAAAGTTATTTTGAATTTTAAGGTTAATAAAAGCCTCATCTTAAACAGATCTGTGGTCACGCTGCTAGAAACTTCTATTTTGGGTTATTTTTCTAGAAATGGCACAATTATTATTGCCTGCCATAAAAAGAGGAACGCAGGTTTTAATGTTTGTGCTCTGGCATCTTGGCGTTGGTCTGTGTTAGCAAAATACCTCAAGAACCGTTGAGTACATTTTATTTAAACGCTCAAGCAGCAAATATATATAAAAATAGAACTGGGCGTTTTCCTTTCCGATAATGACGAAATGAACCCAACTCGTCTGTGGGCTCTCCGAGTGGCACTTTGTTTGTCCTCAACATCCTGTTTCAACAGGAAGTACTTTAAGATGGAGGACAGAGGTGAAGATAAAGTTCACCTCAGATGTTTTCTTTCTGCGAGTTACAAGTTTTACCAACGCCTGCAGCACAGACACACGTAGAGATTCTGTCGTCTGTCCGTCTTTACTCCTTAAATCTTGTGACATTATGCTGCAACTTAAGCCCAATATTCTCCAGATGACGGCTCAGATGCGTCTCATCAAGATACTGAACATGTTGAACAGCTGACATTAAAATTTTCTAAAAACAAAACATTAAACACGTTCAAGAACATAAGGCTAATAACTAATATGGTTGCAGCTTGGTAAAGCTGTAGGTCTTCAGAAAGCAGAAACGTCTCAGAGGAAGAGTTTGTCTTAAACTTAAACTCACCTGCTCCTAAACAACAACAACAACAATTTAAAATAAATTACACCCAATCCTCTGAGTGCAGCGTGTAGTTGTCCTCTCTGGGTTCCTTCTGTACCGCGACCCTGCGTCATGATGAAGGCTAATGAGGATGATGAGCTGTGTGTGAGTAACCAAAGGATGCATGTCTACAATTGATCAACTTCTGGAATAAACCCATTTCAAGATGGCTGCCACAGCTAACCGACCCCAGCGAACACAGAAACGACTGCACCACATCCCTACTCGTAGGGTTTTTAACCGCACTGGAAACTTCTCGTTTCACATCCGTCACAAGAAACCTGGACGAACTGGGACACGTGTCCACGTCCGACTGCTCCAAAATGTGAATATTAATTAAAAAAACATGGTGGAATCTAAGAGACGCAGTTTTAAACGGTTGATTTCCTAAAAAAAAAAAAAAAAAAGTGACCAACTGAGCAGTTCAGACAGAAATATAAAATACGTCTGAAGATAAAAGAAGACAGTGCAGTCTTGTTTGTTTTAATTAACAAAAAGACGGCTTTACTACGAATTTAATGGGCAGTTTCCCTGAGAAGACAGACGGTCTGCTCAGCTGGGAAAAGTTTCCTTAAAAGTAAGATCTGCTCCGCTCTCAAGAGGAACGTCACAGGAAATAAAGCGATGTGGTTGTGGTGCTCCTTGTACATTCTGCAGACCTCCATCAGCCTGAGAGACAACACCACCTGCACTGGTTTGTTGGGTGTGGTGCACAGGTGATCAGAGCTGCAGATGTCTGGTGGATGTGAGACAAGGTGGTGGTGGGGTCCTCAGAGGATCTCCAGGAGTCAGAAGAACCGCTGACTGTGTGCTGTTGTTTCAAGAGGAGAGGTGGTGGGAACCATTCAGGAGACGAGAACTTCTGGGTTCAAGAACTTTTATATTTGTGTTTCAAGAGTTGGCAAAAAGGCCTTTTCCTACTCAGCTCCTGCACCTGGAGCACCTCGCAACAGGAACTGAAGTTGTCCGCCTTGATTTCTTTAAGGGGTTTCAAACATTTGATAATGTCAATAGAAAAATCAAAGCAGATATGATCTCGTTTTGATTATTTCACCCTGATTTATTGTTTGGTACACTACTTTTATTTTAACTGCATTTTTACTTGAGTTCATTGTTGTTGTTTACTCTTGTTGTCTGTACTTTATATGTTCTGTCTGGAACAGGTTCCTCTTGTAAATGAGTCCCCGTGGCTCAATGAAGCTAGCCTGAATAAATAAAGGTTGAATGAATGAAAAACAAGCATCCAGAGAAAAGTACATTTTGAGATTCGGGTATTTTTTATGTAAATCTTCAGAAAAGCAGAAGTGGAGCTTGTGTTTTGTTTCCCACAGCTGAACTTGTGTGCACTTCTTGATGAAAACCATCAAACAACATCTCTGCAGGAACTAAAACTCTTGGGCGGAATGTGCAGTGCGCCGTGCGTAAAACGCCCCCAGGTGAGGTTCGGCTGTCTGTGGACTCACCCACTGTGGTGACCAGAGTGTTGGCGAAGAACATGGAGGACGCCAGGTCCCAGTTGGACCTCCCCGACGAGTTCCTGAGGACGGACACGCCGAACTTGTTGGCCGACAGCACTTGGCTCAGGAAGCGCTCCAGGGACGCGGCGCTGACGCAGCTCTGGTTCAGGAAGTCGTCTTTCAGCGCGTCCATGTCCCGCCGCAGCTTGTCCTCCAGCGGCCGCTCGATGCTGGAGAACACGAGCGCTCCGAACAGCAGGTAGATGACGTAGAAGAGCACGAAGCCGGCGAGCAGCAGCCACGACTTCCCGACAGAATGCATGGCGCGTCCGAGGCGCGGAGCCGCTGCGTGCGAGCGTTTCAGCTGCTCTGTGGGTGTGAGGGGAGCGGATCAGAGGCCGTCCTAATGGAGCCAGAACCTCCCCTCCCTCTGCGTCCCCCACCCCCCAGTAAACAAAGGACCCGGGAGGCGTGTCCAACAGGTGCATCCCTGCGCCCGCAGGTGTTTCAGGTCGGGTCCAGCCACTTCTGCTCAGCTGCTCATACCAAAAATGTTTAGCTCATTCATGACGTGGCTGCTGCTGTTCCAACTTTAACTTTCACAATATTTAGCTATATTTAACCCATTCCTTACCTTGTTCTTTAACTTCTGTCTGTTTCAGTAAACTGGCTCAGTTTTTAATCTTCTGCTACTTTTAGCTTTTCACTGTCGTTGTACCTGCTTTAGTTACTCTTTTGTTACTTTTAGGTATAGGCTTTAGCTACTATAACCTTTTAGCTGCAGCATTCTGATTCGTGTAATTTTTAGCTACTTTTCTATTTGGTTAGTTATTTACTACTCTCTGCTTTTAGCTGCTCTTTTGTACTTGCATCATGTCTTTTGCTACTTTAGCTTGCTTCTTGTAACTTTTAGCTATCCCTTTGTTGCTTTTAGCTTTTTGCTATTTGTTTGCTCATAGTTAGCATTTAACTTTGAAATAGTTGTTTGCTACTTTTTGCTTTTATCAAGCCCTTTGCTATTCTTAGCTTCCAGCTATTTTTGATACTTTTAGCTAGCATTTTGCTACTTTTAGCTATCCTGGAGGTTTGTAAACTGTTGTAGCTCATGTTTTGGTTAAAGTTAAGTTTAAAAAAAGCTGATTTTAGCTTTTTTTGAACCTGACCTATGGTTGTTTGATCTGTTCGCTGAGTCATTTCCATCATCCAGTGCAGCAGAAGAAACAGGAAGTTAGTTACTTGTGAGTACATGACATTAGCATGTAAGACCTGAGCCAGTGTACTTATCTTAGTTTACGTCGTCCAGTTTGTGATAAATGTTTCAGTTGTTGTGAAAAGAGCAAAACAACAGCTGAAGGGAGAGAGATGCATAATCAAGACTGGAAACAGTTTCCTGCCTCACCGGTTTCTGACTGATTACTGACGCAAACCGTGCTGATTCATACAGAAACCACTCAGATCAGCATGTTTTATTTAGGGTCATGAGGCTGGTTAACTGAAACTGAAAATCATACTTGAGTGATTACATCTTAAAAGAATTCAGCGTGAATGCCAAGTGCTCAAGGACTTCTCTGTAGTTTCCTGAAGTAGCTGAAACTAAACTGTTGAAGCTAAAATAAGCAGAAGACTACACAAAAGGAGCAAAGCTCTAGCTACAAGCTAAAAAAAGAAAAACGCTGTCTAAAAGTGCCAAAACATTAGCTAAAAATGTGAAAACCGCTGCTAAAAGCTAAAAGTAGCAAAAGACTAGCTATAGGTTAACGTTAACAAAATGGTTGCTAGAAGGTAATAGCAGCAAAAGGCTAGCTAAAAGCTACTGGTTGGCGAGAGCAAAAAAACCCGGAAAAAGCTAGCCAAAAGCTAAAATTTGCAAAACGATGGTGAGAAGACAAAATAAAGCTAAATCTAACAAAAGGCTCCCTAATAGCTAAAAGTAGCAATGACTAGCTAGAAGAGTGACTAAAAATTAAATGTAGCAAAAGGATAGCTAAAATAGTAAAATGGTAGTTAGAAGTGTTGGAGAAAAATATTCTTTCTTTATCTCACTTACTGAAAAGGAACCACACTCGACAGGAAAGTTTTAACAGTTTTTACTTGCAAGAACAGATTTTCAGGACAGGTTACATACAGGAAGTACACACAGATATACAGGAAGTACACAGAGATATACAGGAAGTACACTCAGATATACAGGAAGTACACACAGATATACAGGAAGTACACACAGATATACAGGAAGTACACATGAAGACCAGACACGAGAATCTGCCATGGGCAGTGTGTGTGAAGCTTGTTCTTATAGTCTTATCAGTTCAGCCGAGCTCACGGACTCAGAGGAGTCCTTGAAGCAACAGCCGCAGCCTCACTCAGCTCCTCATCCAGCTCCTCATCCAGCTTTTTACTAACCCAAACACATGGTTCATGGACAAAGTTAACATTCACAGCCATAGTAGATAAAAACATCCATAATCTTTGACCAAAAATTCCCAAACAAGAAGCTGAAAGTAATAAAAGACCAGCTAAAAGCTAATGGTAGGTGAAAGCAAAAAATAGAAAAAGCTAGCCAAAAGCTAAAAGTTGCAAAAATGATAGTGAGAAGATAAAATAATGCAAGCTAAAACTAGCAAAAGGCTCCCTAAAAGCTAAAAGTAGCAAGGACTAGCTAGGGCCTAAAGTAGCTAAGAGTGGCTATATTAAATGTAGCAAAATGCTAGCTAAAAGTAACCAAATGGGTGCTAGAAGCTTAAATTTGCATAAGGCTAAAGCTAAAAGCTAAATGGAGTAAAATG